ATGTTCCCCATGTTATCATTGTTTTGTTGCCAAGGAAGATTGTTGGAAGGAAGAACAAAGCCCAGTGTGTTGTGGCCACAAGGGAAGGATTGCAGAACATTGTCTTGGAGCATAGCTGGTAAAAGGATGTAAAACTGGCTTTTCCTATAAAAGGGATCCCCTGTTGCTTCCTTCAATTAAATCTATTACAAAAAAATCACAATCCATGGGCTAATCATATGAACAATAGAGGGATTCAAACTGTCCTGCCTCTCTCCAAATCTGAGATACCTACATGCCCTCTAAACAGGCTGTGTCAGGGCCGTGAAAATGCTGTACCAGGACCATGATATCTGATTTGTTCCAATACAGTATTTCAAAATTCAGTTCAAAATCTTATAATGTGTAGGGGGTGTAAACTTGGAGAGTAAACCTAGTCCAGTAGAAAGATACAGCAGTGAATTTGAATCCAAACTTGGCTGTGGCTGCAGGCATCTGGTTCATGTCCACAACTGCTAACAGTAGGATGTAGGATCATAAAGCCTCTTTTGAATAATTCTGTGGAGCTGATAGTTCCCTTTGTGAAAAATTATGGTCATTTCAGGACAACTTGTATGCTTCAGTTTTAGTAATAAAAACTGCTGCTCAGCATGAATGCATTGAGGTACATTCACAGAGTATGAATTGGTTTTCATGTCTTGAAAATTATAGAAGAGAATTCTGGGATAAACAAAATGAATAATTTTTTCATTTTTATTCTGAACAACATTGAGGAGAAGACAGTGGAATTTTTTTATTCACAGACACAGAAATAAAGTTAGTGTCACAATATCGATGCAAATACAGTGCTGTGGTATATCTGCTCCCTTTTCAGAGCAGAGATTACAAACAGAGCAAGTGTGAATTTTTAAACCTCCTTTTTGAATCTAAAACATTCATATCTGCAATGACTTCTACAGATATTCCAGTAATTCCAGTAATGTTAGACAGTGCACTCAAAGAAGCATTTGCCTGCTGCAAAAGAATTGTATTCATCAAAGAAGCAGGCAAGCAGCAGCTACAGCATGGGAGGAAAGATGTAAACAGGACAGATGTGTGTTAAATTGTCAAGTAGATACAGATGCTCAATACTCATTTCTATTACATGACCTGTTTCATTTTATCAAGTCATGAATAGGAGTGATAAAATGGTACCCAGCTACCTTGCCAGCCAACCATGGCATTGCAGACACTCCCTCAACTGCTATTTTGGGAGTATGAGAATAGAAACAGAGCATCAGGGAATCATACGGGTCTGTGTGCCTGTTCACCAAGGTGGCTGCATTGATAAATCCAAGCACAATCTTCATGCAAGGATGTGCATGCATTTGCATTCACATGTCAGTCAGATGTCTTTCCAGTGGCAGCGCAGAGGTCTCTTAGGAGGTGCTACAGTCTTCACCTCAGACTTTTGATGAGCCTCAAATATCTCAAAAATATTAAAAATAAACTAACAAACCCCACAAATCCATTCTTCTGTAGCTATATAAACTGTACTTATAAAAGTACAGTTTTACAAAAATCTGACATTTTTCATGTTTGAGAAAGTACTTATAAGTGAGCTACCTGCTTATTTTGAAATAATAAATACAATAGTAGTTATATGGATTTTTTACATACCTCTGTAAATGACAACTGTTCTGCAGAAAGTATACATGGGAGAAGGGCTCTGGCCTTTCTCAGACCATAATGCATGATGTACTACAACTAAAATTACACTGTGAGTAAATACAATCAGTACAGCTGTGTGGTATCTGGAGGCCTCTGTGACTGATTAGTCATATTCTGCATATCAGGCACTGCAGGGTCAAGTGTGAGAGTGGCTGAGCACCATATTTCCCATTGATTTTTTTTTTCTGAGTTGCATGGATAGATCATTAGCACTGTGTGAGTAACGAATTCTGTGACCTATGAGCAATTCTGAAAAATGAGAAATTCTGCAACTGGAAAGCAGTTTTATTTTAAATAATCATTAAGTGTTTTAATTAATTTTTCTAGTGACTAAATAGACCAGTGCAACCAACACATTTTTGAGCATCCTTACTAGAAGCAAGGGAAATCAGTAATCTAAGGGCTTCGTTCAAAGGAGTGTGTGGGATTAATTCAGAAAAGCTGTGAGGAGATGCTGCTCATAAATACCTTGGGTGCCCTGAGAGAGAGGAGTCCTTCCTGTAAGTTAAAGGATAAACTTAGACCCAGAATTTAGAGATAGTGGTATATAAGCAGTGAGTCAGAGAATGTGGAGTATGTAGATGTTTGGTTTTGGGAATAGTGCCTCTGCCTCTGTTGCATGGTAGCCTGAAATATTTCTCCTTGGAAATGATAATTGTTTTTAATGTATTCTTATATTTACATTCTTATAATACATTCTTATGATGTATTCTTATATTTGGTTTTAACCAAAACTATTCCCCTAGATATTCTTTTTAATATCTTTAGAATATTTATCTATGCTTTCTCCAAAATGTAAAGAAATGCTTTACCAAGATGTAGTCTGATTATTCTTCAGGGGGAGGGCACAGTTCTTCCTTGTCCATACTAACAGTGCTGTGGAGGCCCAGAACTGGAAGAGCAGCTACTGTTCCAGAGCAGAATGTTCAGATTAACAGCTAATAGAAGCACTACCTCTGAATATGAAGCGTTTTGTTTGCTTCTCTCTCCCCTCCTTGAATCCCCATATGAATTATGCTTTATCAGTGAAATCACAGGTTGTGCAGTACGCTAGGAAGACTAATAAAAGTCTTTCATAACTGTTATCTAAATGTGCTGGAATGCTTTAATAAATTTACATGTATGAAAAATGACGAATTTAGGTAATTGAACAGTACAAAGCTTTGTGCTCAGAGCATACAATAATATCTCTTTCACCACATGTGTGTGACTAAGCAGCCTCTTATTACTGGTCGCAGAATGCAAATGCCTGAAGAGGACATGAAATGTATGACCTTTAAATACAGATGGAGGGAAACAGTTATTTACCTAGTGCAGGGGACTGTGAAATAGCAAATGGCATGACCAATGAGAATTGGACAATAAAATTTGCTTTTCCTGCAACAAACTCTTTGTGAAAGGAGGATTCTGCAGTAGGGTTTATAGTTTATTGGGAAAATGTTTCATGGAAAAGTACCATTTTAAATTACATGTAATGATGTATGAGAATCCTCACTATGAATATAGTTGTTTGTTGTATTTGTTATTCATATTAAGTTTTAGCAAAACAGGGAAATTTCAGCTTCTTGTTTTTATCTGCAGATATTAAAGAATGGACTGCTGGAACTTGAAATCCTTTGGTGCTAGAGCTTTAAGATAGAAGACAGAAGAGTGGCAGGGAGGGACTACATGTTTTTTGTTAGTTTTGTGCTTTGTTTAGAAAACTATTTGAAACCTGTGCTTTGAGTGTTTTAGTAATTTCTCCTGTGAGAAACTCCTGAATTACAAGCAATGAATAAATAGATTTAGATTTATTAAGCAAAATCAAAAAATGGTGGCACCTCAATTGAGGAATGCTGCTGAAGTGTAAATCTGCCTTGTGCTATATTAGACCCTGAGATTGGCTCAGTTGATCAGAGCATGGGCCTGATAATGCGGTTGCAAGTTTGATTGCCTTAATGGCCATTTACTCAAGAGTTGGATTTGATGATCCTTATAAGCCCCTTCCAACTCAGACTATTCTGTGATTCTATGATCTTTGCTCCAATGTCACTGGTGATCATTGGCCAGAAAAAAATTAAATTTGCACACTTACTCTTCTATGCTGAATGAGGGCTTATAACGTTAGCCAGTGGCTTTTGCTCGAGTGTTATAAGAAACACGAGCATTGAAAAATATTTGATCTAATATGCTGCACACATCTTTATGGAACACTCTGATTTGGAGCTTGAGGGGGGGAAAAATTACTTTTTACAATCAGGAAGAGGCTAATAACTTAGAATCCAGCTCAAATCAGAAGCTTCTGATACAATCTCAGCTACTGTCTTTGCATGGCAATGAATTCCTTCTCTTGTCTGTTGTGATGCATAGGTGAAAAGCAAGCAGCAGAGCCAGACGATGCAGAGCTGGTGAGCCTTAGCAAAAGGCTGGTGGAGAACGCAGTGCTGAAGGCTGTGCAGCAATATTTAGAAGAAACACAAAACAAAAGCAGGCAGAGTGATGGGAGCCCTGCAAAAACTGAGGAAGCAGCGAGCGGCAGCAAGAATGAGAGCGACAATGATAACAGCAAGTGAGCGCTGTGCAAAATGCCTGGGAGCAAATATCCCACCAAGAATAACTACAAAAACATGTTCCGCTCCCTGCTGAAATTTGCAAAGTGATGCTGGGTGTCAGGCACTCTGCTTTGTGAGTCTCTTATCAAAAGTTTGTTCTGAACTGAAGGACACTGTCTACTGGTTTAATAAGTGCTTGCACTGCTGAAAATCTGCTGATTGCTGGGAGGGATGGAAGGTGGAAAAAAGACAAGAGTGGTGAAGCAGGCGGCTCCAGTCTTCACTCGCTCTTGATACCAAGAGTCCCTTTCTTGCTTTTGAGGAGAAACTGAACATTTTGCATTTGTCATTTGGATTGTCGTGGATGACTGTGGATGAAGCCTTGCCATAAGTGGAAGCGGTGCCCTGCGCCCGAGGGTTTGGCAGCGCTGCAGGGCTGCTTGCTCCGTGTGAGAGCACGTGCTGTTTCCTAGTCAACAGCAGTCAATACCAAGCTAAAAATTACCACTGCAGATACTCATCGCAGATACTATTACACAGTATGTAATAAGGCAGGAGTTTCCCTTAAATGTGATGCTGTACTGTTCTTTACATTTTGGTAGCATTTGTTGATGTAAATTATATTTTTTGATGAAAACCTTTTTATAAAAAATGAGTATGGGCAAAACACTGAGCACTTACTACTGTCCAAACCGGATATGATCTCTTTATCTCTGAATATTAATGATTCTAAATCACATTAGTTGTTATAAAATGTATTATATTGTTGTTTTCCTCTAGGAAAGAGCCATGAAGCAGACTTAGTAAAGGAAGCTTTACGCAGAGAAACGCAGGCCCTGTTACCCAGACTGAATCAGATAAAGGAGCTGTTAACGAGTCCTGAGATCCGCACAAAAATTAGCAAAGAACTCTTTGAAGACAGGCACAACTCTAACAGTAAATGGAAAAGTTGTATTGACTCTGAGTCTCCAAATGCATGACTGTAAATTGCCATTGTGGAATATCTCATCAGGTTGTTTAAAGACAATATATTGTGGCAAGAAATTTTTCAGGTTGGTTTGTTTGGGTTTTTTTAACTGAAAATGTGAATGGGTATAAATGGCTCATGAGGAATCATGCTGAAATACTTGCACAGAAGGGTTATATTTCATAATAATGAAGTATGGCCACTTCTCAACATTGCATTGAAACCTTTTTGAGTGTGCAGGTATATGTCATGACTCCAAAGTAGAAAATACTGGTTTCAAATAGATCTGAGCAAACACTGTGCCCTTCCTTTATCATTGTAAATAATTCAGGTTTTTTTTCTCATATACTCCTTCCCTAACAATGATGTACAAGTACTAAAAAATCGGTGGTTTTAAATACTACAAAATGTATATTTGGGGAAAAAATTCCTCTTTTAATTATCTGCCTTTTGTATATGTACTGGCATTTTGGGTTAGCGTTGTATGTTTTTTATTGTTTTTTTAAACAGCACTTGAATATTTCTATAGATGCTGACATTTAGTTTCTGCTGATGTTTACACTAAAGCAAGAATGTTTTAAATTTCAGTATGAAATTCAGGCTCCACTGATTTCAATGCCATACTCTCATTGGCTTTAATGGAGTCAGGATGCTGCAATTAAGATTTCTCGTGCAAATAATAATATTCCTTGGGATAATATTTGCCTTTTTACTTTTGTAGAACAGTGTTTTTGTGTTTTGTTTTTGATGTTCCTCCATCTCTACCTTCTGCTGCCTGAGGTGGAGTGTCACTTTGCTCTCATTGTTCCCCCCACACACCTGCAAGAGTCACTGAAGATTTGGATAATGGACAGCAAAGCAGGAGTAGGTCCAATATTTGCAATTTTTATAAGCATTGTCATAAAAGCTATATAATATGTTGTGATTTGTATCAGAATTGTGCTGTTAGAACAGCTGTGTGCATGTTCTTCATTTATCTCAAGCACTGTTCATTTATCTCACGTCAGAGCTTTTTTTTCCTCATTTGATATATAACAGTATATTCTGAAACGCATCTTTTACATGCTATGTTCACAATAAAATATTTTTCCTTTGCACTCTGTGAACATTTTCACTTGTTTCCAAATGGACTTGAATAAAATTAAGTGCTTGCAAGTAACAGGGTTACAGGAGAGAAATAGTGCTCCAGTGAATCACACCATTGAGTTGGCTACAGGGTGTTGTGCCAACATACTGCTCTGGAGCTTGGCTGCTGAAATCATGCAGATAAACTAGGCCCAAGTCATTATTGTTTTCAAGGAAAAATCTCTGAAACTCTTGGGATTAATTTATGTTTTGGGCAGGGCAGATTTAGAAATAAATAAGGGTTACAACTTCCTAGAGGTCCACTCTTGAAGTGTGAGTTAAAGGAGTAGACTCAAAATGCTCTAGAATGATAGATTAAAAAAATCTCAATCTGAAATCGTCCCTGGAGATCATTGAGAGGTAGCTTTTTATAGGCTATCAAGCAATTTAAATCCAACTTGCATGTAAGAACACAAAACCAGACACTCAGCTGTGAAAACAGGAAAACTATTGTATTATATCTGAATCATGGATTGTCATCTCCCATTCCTCTCTACAAGTCATCTCCATGATTAAGGGCCTTTTTATATAATTCAGTTTGTAACAGTCATTGTTCTCATGTTTCAAGTAAAACTGTGGAAATTAATCACTGAAATTATGTCCAGTCACTTTGATAGGTGATCTCATTATTCGAGAGCATGCTCATTCAGTTCCTATGGATGGCATCAAGAACAGCAGCTCTGGAAAGTGTTGGGGAGGGTTGAGGGCCTGAACAAAGGCATCATCTGAGATGTACTGGAGTGTGTCTGCCAGATATGGCACAAACCATAAAGGGGATGCTCTATTGCATCAGAAACTGTGGGATAGAGGACACCCCAGAAGCCTCTAAAAAGACTCTGGATACACGTGTTTAAGCAAACCAAACCCATCTTTAATTTTTAGATGTTTTGAGAGAGGAAAATCAACAGGGCTTTTGTTTCTGAACCATTCATGTGATCTTAAAATAGCCTTTACTTCTGTTTTTTACAAGAATGACTGTTAATTTACTCAAAAAACAGGGGGGGGGAAACCCTTGCATCTGGATTCATTTTCTTACCCTTCTTGCTTTCTCAAAGTTTTTTTTCCACTGGCAGTGAAGCCTGGCTGCCAAACTGAAGGATAAATCTCTTGTATGGAGCTGTGAGATGAGCACTGAAGAAGGCAGATACATAAAGACTGAACCTAATATAGGCAAGTGTGAAGCTCAGAGCTGCACCCACCAGAACAAATATGTTGCCTTCCTCACACTTACAAATCATTTTCAGACAACAATTCTGTTTCTTAAATAAGCTCTTTTTCTGAGGAATGTCTTAAGGTATTGATGCACAGGTTATTCTAGGAAAGTGTTGGCATTTCAAAGCAGAAGGTGCAAGTTTGTCCATGTTTTGTTTTCAGTTCTACCTTCCAGTTTGCTCATACTCAAAGGGTATTTCTACACTGCTGATTGTAGAGCTGTGACAGATTCAAAAGCAGTAGCTTAGCTTCCAGGACTAATCTAGCTGGAACTGCCTATGACTTGCTGAGAAACTTCTTGACATCTAGGCTTGGTCCAGGCATAGACCAAAAAAATTGTGGAAGGCATGCATGGATATCTGAGCAACCCATGCCATAAATTCCCTACACTGTTGGGCTGTGCATGAGAGCTGTTTAAGAGTTGACAGAGTAACCAGAGGACAGTAAATCCATGTAAATCCTGACTAACAGACCCCAATTCTCTGATGAAGGAAGGGAGACTGTTGTGGAAATCCATGTCTCCAAGCACAGGTACACGTAGCGTAAGGCTGCTCAGTCTGGTAGCTGAGGGGTAATGCACAAGCTGAATGTGCATCAAGGCCTTTGTGAGAATGAAACTAAATGCTGTTTCTGAGTTGACTTAAGGTGACCTAAAGCTGAAATGGATTGGACCTTAAGGTCAGATTTGAATGCTGTATCCAGATATACAGGTATGGGGACCCACACTGGATAATGCCCTATGTCTGTTGATGGTCCTACTGAATTGTTTGGTAAAATACTACTTCTTGGCAAGGTTATACAGTCTCTAAGTTAGGATTCAAGAGGCTTCATATTACATATTTATAGAAGTTTCTGATTATAACTGTGCACACTTCTGTGTGTGCTATTTTAGCCTAAAGACCGTGTGAGCATGTCATGGATCAGAGTGTGAGCCATGCTTCATTCTGGTGACAAGAATGATACTCTTTCATTTTTATGTCAGTCTAGACATGACTCACATATTCTTGTTAGAATTCTGACTTGTTAAAGGTCTTGAGAGATATCCTACAGATTTATGTAGTCAGCAAGGAGAAGAGCAGGGCCACTGCCCTCAGTGGAACTTTTAAGTTGAAATTTAGTAAAAACGCACATTTAATTTTTTTTTAGTTATGTCCAAGAATATGCTTGTGAAGTGTAAACTGAAATTTTTTCTCTGCAGATGAAATACTAGCTGCAGAGCAGGCTGCAGCCCAGTGGAAGGCCAGGAGGAAATCTGTTTGCCTCAGCTGGAGCCTGGTAGCCAAACACCTGAGGGTTGCTTCACTCTGCTTTTAGCCTCAGACTTGGTTTTGCACAATGTTTTTCAAAACGGTATTTTATCAGGGAACCCCCTCTGCCTCTGTTCAGCTGTTAGTGGTATGTTGTCTTGGCCTGAAAAAATGAGGGGCTGAACTGCTACTGTGGCTTTCAGCTGTTTCCATCCCTTTGGAGGAGGGGAGAAATTGTTTCTGAAATCCCAGAGAGATTGGTGTCTTTGCAGAGACACCTCTGGTCTTGCTCAACAGAGGTCGAAGGAGGGCTTACATGACTGCTCACTGAAGTCTTCATCTGGCAGTGACTACTGTCTGACCCAGCCCAATACCACTGGACAAAAGCAGATCCCAGAAATGACATGGTGAGTGAGTCAACTGCATGATTAGTCAGCAGTTGGATAAAATAAGTGGTGTTTTAGCTTCATGAAAATTGTGTCAAGTCATGGTCATGTAATAATTTAATTTGTGGAAGTCTTTTGGAATTTTGATTCTTCTGTAATTGTTCACATCGTGACAGGGGGTAATCTCTTTCATGTGTAGGTGCACATGTAATGTGCACCTTCATCAGTAAAGACTGATGAAGGTGCACCTGCTTTCAAAGAGCTCTTCAGTGCCGTACCACAATCTTCTATAGAAATGTTTTGCACTTTTTTTTTTTTTTCAGTTAAACAAAGTTTTTCCTGGCCTGGTTTCAGAGGCAAGCAGTCACACTATTCTTATGGGAATGGAAACTGTTTGAACTGTGGAAGTAGGAGCACATTAATGCTGACATGTGTTTTACTCTGCTGTTCCTTTGATCAATAGTTTCTGTATAAGCAACTTCTTAGCATGCACTCATCTTCTCATTTATATTCTCCTCATTTTAAGCCTTTATAATGAGAACATTTGTACTGAATGAAAATCAGTCCCAAGAGACGGCTGGGCTGAGGAATAAAACACACTCATAGTGGAGCAATAATTAGAACAGTACAAGGGAAAACAAAAAGCGATATGCCTGCCATTCCTGGCATAGCAAAAAGGGCACTCTGGCATTGATAAGCAAATAATTCTGCAGCAAGAGACTGGAGTTTGACTGCTGGTTTGTGGTCTCTGGTCCCACTGCTGTTTATGTTCTTTGTTTAGTGACTCTTGGATGAAAAATGCATTAGCACAGGCTGAGACGTGGAACTGTTTCTTCCAGGAGCTCTCCTCATTGCTGGAAAATAAAGCCCCTTTTTGCTTGTGGTGATTAAGGATTAAACCAATCCAAAATGCAGAATTATAGTAGTTAAGAGAAGATAATTAAAAAATTACACATGGGGATTTCAGTAGAAGCTTATCTGAAATAAAAGTTGGTTTTCTTTCATATAAGAAAGGCAGAAATGATTTGAGGTCAAGACTGACTCGAGATTCTGGTGGGATTTTTTTAGCAAAACTGCAATTTGAATTAAAACTCAGAGGAAACGTTGCATTTCCAGAATACATTTTACTTTAATTTTTTTTTTCCTTTTCTTAGCCATACAGAGAACTTCAGGCACTGAAACACTCAGAAGATAAGAAGAAAACATGCTGATATGATTTAACTTTGGTCATAACTCAGAAAAACAAAACATAACAGAAAACAAAACAAGAAATACCAGCAACTAATGATAAAAGTCAAAGGTAGCTGCTAGTGTGAAAAAAGAAAACCTAGTAAATCCAAATGTTTAGAAGAATAGAGGATGCAAGGAAGGAAAACAATAGTGTACCCTGCATCTGGTCAGTCAAATAATGAACACCTGTGTCTGTCACTCTGCTGTACTGTACAGGCAAATGTCCCATTTCCCAGTCCCATTTTCCAGCCAGATACATCCAAGGAAGAGGGCTGAATGAGCATGTGGTCACTCTAGCAGAATGCTGAGGTGAAGAGTTTTAAGGAATATGGCAGGATAGTGGCTAAGTCAAGGTAAAGTCAAGGCAAAGCTCAGGGAGGTGATCTCTAGAGGAGCAGGGAGAAGCAAAGGAACAAATTGTGCATTTGAAGCTCCATTTATCACTGTGTAGGTCCTCTGAACCTTCATCACATTCAGCAGTTACCCCCTGTCACTATGTGAAAACTTACAGAAGAATCAAAATTTCAAAAGCTTTTCACAAATTAAACTATTACATGACCATGACTTGGAACAATTTTCATGAAGCTAAAACACCACTTTATCCAACTTCTGTCAAAGTGGAATAAGTAGTCAAACCCTTAAATGTGCAGAGAATTACAGGAAATAATTTGCAAATGATCTTAAATTCTGAGGCATTCTTCCTGCCAGCCAGCAGAGCAGAGTGGGCAACAAACCTCCCTCCCCCAGAAACAAATGGATGACTGAATGTTTGCAAATAGCTTGAGGTGATGGCTGGAACACCAAGCCTTGTTCTTGCTAAGTACAGGAAATTGGAATACAAACCTTAGCACACTTATTTAGGTTATTTAACAAAAGAGTCCACAG